TGATCGTCCCCCTGTACTCGGCTCTGGTGAGGCCGCACCTCGAGTACTGTGTTCAGTTTTGGGCCCCTCGCTACAAGAAGGACATCGAGGTGCTCGAGCGGGTCCAGAGAAGGGCGACGAAGCTGGTGAGGGGTCTGGAGAACAAGTCCTACGAGGAGCGGCTGAGGGAGCTGGGCTTGTTCAGCCTGGAGAAAAGGAGGCTCAGGGGTGACCTTATTGCTCTTTACAGATACCTTAAAGGAGGCTGTAGTGAGGTGGGGGTTGGCCTGTTCTCCCACGTGCCTGGTGACAGGATGAGGGGGAATGGGCTGAAGTTGCGCCAGGGGAGTTTTAGGTTAGATGTTAGGAAGAACTTCTTTACTGAAAGGGTTGTTAGACATTGGAACAGGCTGCCCAGGGAAGTGGTGGAGTCACCATCCCTGGAAGTCTTTAAAAGACGTTTAGATGTAGAGCTTAGGGATATGGTTTAGTGGGGACTGTTAGTGTTAGGTTAGAGGTTGGACTCGATGATCTTGAGGTCTCTTCCAACCTAGAAATTCTGTGATTCTGTGAAGTGCTAATGAGGCAAATATTAACGGTTTTACATCAAGAGGGTCATTGGGAAACTCAAGCAATATGTGATGCTGTGCTATGGAAATATGTATGCATTATGTATGCGTAGGAATATATATATATACTGTGGCTGAACAAGTATGCAGCAGTTACATAATATGTCAAAAGGTAAATAGGAAAATTATCCACAGTCAGCCCGGGGGGGGGCAATAATCATGAATTCAACGCTTCCAAAATGTACAGGTAGATTTTACAGAGCTCCTTAGAGTACGTAGATATAAATACTTATTAGTCTTGGTCAATCATTTTTCAGGGTGGGTGGAAGCTTTCCCTTTAGTATCTGCTACTGTGAACATAGTAACTAAAGTAATTCTAAGAACTCCCAGGTATGGAATTGTTGAAAATATTGACTCTGATCAAGGAAATCACTTTATGTCAGAAATATTGCAAGGGCTAATGTGGACTCTAGGAATGAAGTGGAAATTTCATACTCCTTGGCATCCTTCCTCTTCTGGAAGGGTGGAGCAGACAGAAAAGAAGCAATTGACTAAGTTCTGGAAACTCATCTTCCCCAAACAAAGTGCTTACCTTTGGCACTTCTCTGAATTCACCAAGATAAGATGTGGGAGTTTCACCATATGAAATACTATTTGGATTGCTGTACCTGGACAAAGGGAATGGATTACCTCAATTTGAGAAAAAAGATGCTTTTCTTAAGAACTATATACTGGGGCTGTCATCCTTTTTGTCATCTCTCAGGACCCGTGGAGATTGGGATCTGATGCAAACTGCAGAATCGAAGCTGCAACCTGAGTGGAACGGACTGTTCCAAGTGCTCCTGACTACTGAAACAACAGTAAGAACGGCTGAGAGAGGGTGGACTCATTCCTGGGTAAAAGCATCAGTTAACCCTGATACCTGAGAGACTGCATTAACAACGACTTTTAAGGTTAAAACTGTTGAAAGTATCTATTGTAAACGTTTAACTTCTCCTTAGAAGAATTCTTAATGAATTAATGAGTAAAAGGGATTGAATTACACAGAATTGGAGTGTTTCCAGGGAACACTCCCTGGAAGTGGGAGAAAAAGAAAGGGGGATATTCGATCCCCACCAGAAGAATCCTTATCAGTTTGCGATTTTTATTATTATTTCTTAATTATTATTATTTCTTAATTATTATTATTTCTTAATTATTATAGGGGTGTATATATACATATAGAAATGATGTATTTTAAGTTCATCTTAATAATACCTGTTCTCAGTGGATTAGTGATAGGATGGAGGGAATGTTCGGCATTTCCAATTAATCCAGAACATCTCTCGAGTGAAATAATTGTTGGATTTGTACCCAGATGCCTAGAAAGACTGAAAAGGCCTTGTCCCTGATTGCTATTTCCAGCAGCAACTCTGTCTGGATTCTCTAGATTTCTAAAAACGACAGATCTTACTCAGTCCCGGGAAGGAATAGATTTTGAAGTTGAGCTCCCTACACATAGTCCTGGCTACAACATACTGTGTTATCAAAGGTGCCTTTTAAACAACATTGATAGAAAACTCAGGAGGCAATATTACTGACCCTGGGTGTGGAAATATCCATGAAGTAGGGAATAATCTATACTGTATACCGAATATAGTAGCCATGGGAACGCTAATATACATAATGAACACCAGATACAACATGAGAATCCTGTAACCAGAAGGCCTGTTCCAAATATCAAGGGGTGGTACTGGCTATGTGGCAATAAAGCCAGGAAGGTGTTGCCCCTAGGATGGAAGGGAGCTTGCACCCTGGAGGCAATAATTCCAAATGTAACTATTATTGAACCCCCACAAAGCCGAAGCCCCCTTGAGACCACACGTGGAATTAAGCGGATTCCAGATAATCCTTTAGTAAAATTCTCTAGCATTTCACAGTTTTGCAAAGTGGTTTTTATCTTGTTTAGGGGTGAGTGAATTAGAAAAAGACATTGTAAATTTCTCAAAATACAAAAATATTGTAAATATATTGAAGAACTAGAAAATAAGTTTGATAAGTTTGCAAAAATAGTACTCTAGAATCAAATAGCATTAGATTTATTAATAACCTCATAAGGAGGAGTGTGCACTGTAATTAATACTAGTTGCTGTATATATGTAGATCAAATGGGACGGATTTGACTAATCTCAAAAATATTTTGGGAAAAAAAAAACACAAAATCCTACATAGAGTAGCTCAAGATGCCAATTCCTGGGGATTTAGAAACATTTGGGAGAAACTAATTTCACAGTTACCTGAATAGAATTGGATCAAACAACTGTTTGTTGGTATTGTAATAATAATGGCATTGTATATCTATCATCTCCCGTGACATCCGAAGAAGAATATTGCACCTCAATGTTGGAAAAACTCAAGAGTGTGGTATGTGAAGAGGTACAAAAACAACAAGAGGAGTAAGAAAAGAAGAGGGGGGAATTGTGAGAAACAAAGTTGTGTTTTTGCAGTAGAAAACTAACCTTCTGTATTCCAAGGTAGTTGTGTAGTCATAATAAGGAGAAATGCTAAGTAGGTAAGTGGACAGTAGGAGGCCTCACTGTTCCAAAATAAGGTAGAAGCTTGAGAAAAACAGGATGAGCAGTGTGAGAATAGTAAAAAAAAGATCACAAGTTCTCAAAGCATAAGAAAGGAGAAATTAAAGGGTTGAAAAAAAGAAAAATTGTACATATATGGTATAGAGGAGCGTCGAGTAGGTTGTGAACCTGTATTACTCAGCCAATGAGGAAACAGGGGAGGTGATCAGGTGTTGGATAATGGGGAATAAAAGGTTATGATTTGTTTACTAAAATGCGCTCCTGATTGACAGGACGCCCACCATTGCAATCGCAAATGAAATAGCTTCACAGAAGATCCTGTCTGAAGAAAATTATTTGAGATGTTTCTCATAAGTGGAAGCTTGAGGTGTCAGTGACAGTGATGTCATGCGTGATAGACAGTCACACCCAGATCTGGCGCCACTGAACAAGGCATTCAATACTACAGCAGAGTAACTTTTGCCTCCAAAGAGCATTAATGTATTTATCAGTTCCCCTAAAAGATTCCTAAGGGACCTGACACTAACTTTAGACCCACTGGTTGGAGAGGTATCAGCATTCTCATACCTGTGCTAAGGACTCACCAGCCAAAGGGGATGTGCTGGCTACTCTGAGAACAACTTTCTATAGTAGCAGATTTTGCCACTGTTCTTGGCATGACTGGATCCCACAAGCTTTTCTCATTTGACATCAGCTCCTTCAGGGTTGGGTTAGCACATAAGACATTTAGATAAGCTACTCACTACCAGCGCACAGGCCATTCTGGTAGCCTGACTGAGAAGACAAAATTCTGAACACACTAAATATATGTGAAGCTTTAATATCTTACAGAGACCAAACACCCTTAGTGCCCTCCATATCATGACAAAACATTCAGAGAACACAGCCTACAAAGCTAAGTCCAGGGTGTAACCTACCTGTGACTCACAAGAATTACAGCCTGCTTGCCAGGATGATGTCACATAACCGAACGGGTAATAAGACATCCTATCCTAGCTCTGAAGAGCAACAAGTTGGAAGGTTTGCTACGCCTCTGCTGGGCTTTTCTGGGGCTCACACTGTGCTATCCATCCCATAGCAGGCTCCAGAGAGAACCTGGAGACCTATCTCAACTCTATACTAAGTAGTTTTCCCTTCCCTTAGCTCTAAGAGATGGGACATGCAATTTATCAACAAGGTGATTTTGAAACACAACTCACTGGCAGAAGTGCTGGGCACTATTCATTCCACACTTTGCCATCTGAGCAGAGCTATCATAGCTGTATACATACAAACACACGTTTAGAAGCATGAAATACTAGGTACATGGCTTTGGTCAATTTAGCCTCCATGCACTTTTACTATTTTGAATAGCTCCCACCAGAACTGTAAAAAAAGCCAAGTAGTTCTGTGCAAGGCATAGCCTACATGATCACATCATTTTATTTGAGGCATTGCAATCCAACCAGGCGTACTGTATTTGAACCCCAGCTTGGCTGGAAAACAGAGATAGCACAGAATATGTTCATACTTGTAGAACCCTGTTTGAGGGTATGCCATAGCATTGGTGTTTCAATTCTTACCATCTTTCCTCTTAAAAATACAACTTAGTTTAGCAATGTCAGGGTAGCATTTAAACCTTTATCTGTTACACAAGAACACTGTGGGTTTTTTTGGAGTAGATACATTAAAATAAATGCCATCAGACTTTTTATAGTGATAAGTAGTACAAACTTTTTGCATGGCTTACAATATTATCTTCCTCTACATTCTAGCAGACTATGAAATAACAGTATAGCACGGTGAAGACTAACACCTGAACAAAATATAGTTCACAGAATCACACGTTGAAGACCTAAGGTCACAGAGGAAAGAGCAGAAGTACACAAACCATCCTTACCTGGGCTTCTCTGACAAGCTGAGAAGAATCAGGCAGGCAGAAACCAATGGGTAATCCAACCTTCGAAGAGGTTTTAAATTTGTCTCCTATCTTAAATGGGACGTCGTCGAGATAACTGAAAGGCCCTAAGATCACAAGAAGAAATTGTATCAAGAACCTTACAAATTTGATGCATTCAGTTAAATCTCATGTTTCTGTATTTGGCAGCTACTCTTTCTCTGCTACCCCAACCACACAATGTGACTCAATACAAAGGAAGTTGAGTGATAAGAAACACACTGAATATGCCTGGACTTCATTGCTTCAGTTTTATTATTTTTAAAAGAATATTCTAGTCCATAACTATATTTTAAAACACTCCAATTGCTAAGCAGATTTTGAAGTTAATATTCCAGCATCTTAGCTTCCCTCATGACAACACTATGCCTACACAACCAGAAATTGAAGCTCTCCTGAATGTTGCGTTCTGTTATGCCTCTATAGAAGGAGCCATCAGTTTTTGTTATATTCAAAGCAAGTTTTAAAATGACCCAGCTCTAGAGCAGCTAAGAAACAAAAAAAGTTTTGACATACAAGTGGAAAGTAACATTTGGACAGAAGTGGTCACAAGGACAAAGTGGCCAAGTCCAGGAGATCCGCTTTAAACAAAACACAGTGAAATAGCTCAAGAATATTCAGTGTAGCAATTCTGACTTTTCAAACAAGGCAATCTAACTGGATCCAGTCTGATTTGTGATCACTCCAGTGAGGGGCCACAAACTTATTCCATGGTCCTCCATCTGTGCTTTACATCTGTCACTTACGTGTATCATTTATAGTGTTTTAGGACAAAAACTTTTCAAGCACCCTGCAAGCTCACTAGGCAGAATCACCAACAACTCAAGCTCCTCCAAGAAGCCAGACTAAAGTTGTTGTTTTTTCCATGAGCTGCTGTGAAGAAGTGTGAGAAAACCCATAACGTAAATTGTAGCCAGTTTCTAGATTAACTGGTCTAACCTTTTGGAATTACAGGCAAGGTTTTTGACTGTATATTACTAGACAAAAACTTCAAATTGTTATTATCATTTGGAACTTTGCTCTGAATGCTACAGATCCGACAAGACATTAGTGGCAACATGAGATGTTTGGTGACTAACCTCTTGCTCAGTGAGCTGTGACTTGCCATTTTTATCTGACCCATTTTCATACTTGGATGACAGTTTAAATACTATTTGTGCTCCTTCACTGTTGACTAATTTACAATAACACAGCCAAAAGCTCCAAGAGGACAAGCAGCTTTTGAGAACAGGAATATCCTGTTAATTTGGAATCAAATGTTTATGTGCTGTCATCAGTTGACCTCTCATGCTATAAACTGCATCGGCTGGTCCCAGAGCCCTGTTGGGCCTGAATAAAGGTAAGCAAAGAATTTGATTTTTTTTTATGAGCTCCCTTGCCGGCTGCAGCACTGTATTTTGCCCGTAATTCTGCACGCGAAGATCCGAACGAAGACAATGGAGTCGTAAGTGTTTAAGGAGTATACCGTTTGGTTCGGTGGGATTCGGTTGCCTGTGTGTGTAAGAGTGTAACTTAGACTTCCGAAGTCAGTGTGGAGGTCTTCTAACCGCGGTTCCAATCTCCCATGAGGGACTTGGCCAGTGAAGGAAGTGATTCCTATAGGATTCGTGGGTGGGTGATAGGTCCTAAACCCCCTGCAAGACACTCTTACTAAGGTAACCAAGGGCTGTGGGAATTGCCATAGTAAAATTCCTAGATGGGTCAGACAGAATTGAAGACCAAGGACCAGAAGAAAGGGAGCAAATTATCAGAAAGTCCATTAGGAATAACGATTAGAAATTGGAACAATAGGGGCCCCAGAAAATGAAAAAGTAAATTAAAAATGGTCCATTATTATATGATAGAAACACCAAAAGAACCCTTAAGACCCCATGTATTTTGGTTGATATTTGGGTCCACGGAGGACAGGGTCTGTCAGGCTTTGAACATTAATGTTAATAGTAGAATACCCGCGGATCCGGAAGAGAGCAAGTATGCTGCAGCTGAAACATGGAATTAGAAATTAGAGAGCAATTGATTAAGAATGAGTATGTGCTACATTTGTGATGTACTATGCCTGTGCTGCGCTTAGACCTCCAGATAACAGGAGCCTCTCAGACCCCAAGAACCAGATCAAAACAACCTCATGGTTCGGACTTTAACCAAGGGGTCTGAGATAAGGAGGACTGTTCACAAAGGGACAGGTTATGCATATGTATAGGAGTGTTGGGAAACTTCATGTATATGTAACTCTACTAGATATAACCAAAGCAAGTTGTCACATTAGGCGTGCATGACTTTGGCAGGACTACCCCCCCCCGTGCCGCCCAGAACTGAGTAAACATACCTACTTTACAATCTTACTGATTGTGGAGTCAGCTTTCTGTGAGTCATTTTGGTGAGCCAGGCAGGAGACACTCTGCTCGGCTGCAGGATCGGCTGCGGAGCAGACGCCCCTAGGTGCACCCTGAGTGTTTTGCTCGGAGGGGACTCCACTCTCAGCCGCTCACCGCAGGAGCAGACAAAGATCTCCTGAGGCTGCGGACAAACGGTATGTTTTCAGCTGCTGGAGGGATACTAACTGGAATGTTAATAATTGTATGTCTTATTCTTAAATGTCCAGGTATTTTGTGTTGAAAGTATTTGTGTAAGTGGAAGGGTTTGAAACAAAGTGGAATAAGTCACTCCACGAAGAACACAGTCAGAGACAATACTCGTTTGGTTGGTTATCATTCTAAATTATATTCTTGTGGTATGAATGAGATGTGCTAGAGGCCTCTCTGTGTGATTGTGTGATTGTGCTGTGTGAGTGAGACGCAGCGTCGCTGCAAAGCGAGTGCGGAGTTCCGATCCGCAGTTCCATGTTCTCCGCAAGGGGAGTGGGCGGAGACGAACGAAGTGCGTGAGAAACCAAAAAGAAGTGCTGTTTTATCCAAGTTTTGAGTGGTGGTGCCCAATATATGGGCCTGGCAGTGTATCTTGTGATCCTATTTTTGCTCTTAAATGCTTTGAGTGTGACAAGAAAGGTGGGAGCATTATCGAAGTAACTAACAGTTGAGAAGTGCTGGTATATTTGCTGTGGTGTTTTTGCTGTGGTGTTTGGTCAGTTTCCCAAGTACTGGCGGGGGGGGGAGGGGGTTGACTGATTATCAAAGCAGAACCGAGAGAGTCATTTCTTTGGTGGTTCGGGCTTGAGCCCTGGGAATTTGGTAAGAGGGGGGGGGAGCGAATTTATTTAGGCATCAATACCTTTTAAACCCCCCTATTGACGGATACACAGGAGTGATTCCTTGTTTTGTATGGGCTTACTAACAAAGTGCATGAGAAAAATTGGCATTTGGCTTGAAATTCGGTCCTGTTGAAATGTAAATTTTTGTGGAGAAGGTGGTAATGTTTGTCTAGAAGACGGAAGGCTGAGTGCTTCAGCTGTTTTCCTGAAGTTCCGTGGATTTATGATTGAAACGGGGCTCGTTAATAATTTGAAATAGTGAAGTTTGTATGTGGGAAGAAGAGTTTAATCCCAGAGAATTGGGACATTTGGGAAGGAGATTAGGAAAAGATTGTAAAAACCCGCAGTAAAAAGGTTTGCGTGGAAATTGAAACAAAGGACAGTAACTAGAAAGGAATAATACTAAATAAATAAATAAACAAACAAATAAAAGGGAATGGGAAATCAAGGAAATGGGTAATATCCAAAACAAAGATGTTTTAAAGAAAGCCTCCTCGGGTGCATATTGTCACATTCAAAGGATATTGTTAGAACTGGGGACACAGAAAGCAAGAGGACTTTCACTAAATATTGCAATCAGTGGTGGCCACTATATAAAGTGAATGGCCACTTTATGGATCAATCGACTATAACACTATCTTGCAATTAAATTAATGTTGTTTCTGAGGAGAGAAGAAAAATAGGATGAAATGTAGTATACTGATATGTTGTTTCAGCATCTTAGAGGGAAAAGGAGTGGAATTACATGCAAGTTGGCCCCTGACTTAGCCTTTGGTGTTGGCATGAGAAAAGTACAGGCTGGAGAAAAATAAAGGAAGGGTTAAAAGAGTTGTTGAAGGTGTTAAAGGTGTGGCATGTAGTATTTAACAGAGCTGTTTGAAGTTGAATGAGCAGGGAAAGAGGATGTAGGAATGTTAATAGTTCTGCCTCAATGGGAGGCTGTGATCTCAAAATCACCGGTGTGAGCCCTTTGGGGCAGAGGGACCATGACAGTCAGAGAGTTGTCACGGAAACAGAAAAGCAGTTAACTCTTAAAACAATCTGAGTTTATGAGTGAGCTCAGATTGCCAATGGGACCGCTCAGGGAACTGTTGACAATTGCATTCCCCTGACCGACCCCATGCTGAGACTATAGTCACCCCGGAAATAATGAACGATAAATACCAAAATCTGGTTAAATTGGGAATTGAGAATCTGTTCCAACAAAATCCAAAAGAAACCCCTATGGAATTTTTGGACCGACTATGAAATGCAATGGAAAACAAAACAAAACAAACAAACGAAACTGGAGAAAATAGGGGCTAAATTAGAACAAGGAAAATGGACGCTGCCAGACAGGCGAGAGATACTGCCAAAAGCTTATGCAAAGCAAATATTGGGACGTTTGCATGCACAAACACATTGGGGTACAAAGGTGTTAAGTGATCATTTACTAAAACAATTTGGTTGCATTGTTTTTTTTTGAAATAGCAAAGCAAATTACATAACCGTTGCTTAACTTGTAAGAAGATAAATAAGAAAGTGTTTCAACAAGCAGCCACGGGAGGGAGAAACAAAACAAAACAGCTTATAGGCCTTTTGAGAAAGTACAAGTTGGTTTCACTGAATTGCCCAAAGTAGAGAGGATAAAATATCTATTGGTAATAGTAGATCATTTAACACAATGGGTAGAAGCTTATCCCGTAGCACGAGCTATGGCACAAATGGTGGTAAAAATTCTATTAGAACACCTGATACCTAGATATGGGATAATCCAGTACATTGATTCTGACCAGGGCACACACCTTACTTCTAAAATAATAAAATTATTATGGAAATCATTAGGTATTCAGTGGGAATACCATACTCCGTGGCACCCAC